TGATCTTCAAAGATGGCACATGGTGGTTATTTTTAGTATGATTAAACATGTCTGAAATAAATTATTGAAAAGTAGAAAGTCATGGCAAAATCAGAAGTTTTCATGGTTTAATATTTAAGAAAATTCAAAACAAGCCATTTGAATAAAGATTTCTGTTTATTTCATAATTATGCAAATATGCAAATTAACTTTACAGAAACTTTGGTTTCATTGCTAAAATAATTTAGTTTGCTTATTGACATTGTGCTTCTGTTTTGTTAAACATTCACGTAAATGAGAAAATGGGATTTTTGAGGTGTTTTTTAAGAAGAAATTATAGAGAGATAATAATACAGGAAGAAAATAAAAAGAATTTGCTGTGAATCCCATTTTCACAGTAGTCCCGGGTTCCTAGCCTCTAGGAATCAAATCACCCATGTGCAGTTACGGTCATTTTTAATCTGTGTGTTTATTTGCTCCATTTTGAAGATCGTTTTAAATTTTACTGCAGTGGACCTGTACGAAAGTAGCTTGTGCTGGTGTGACTACATGGGTGCTGGAGAAAACCCCTCTCCTTGCTAAGAGATGATTCGCCCCCTCTGTGGCTGTGCATATGGTCTGTCCTGTCTGAAGGCAGTTCTTTCAAGAGTCATCTCAGAGTTTACAATGTATGAGACTAACATTTTCATTTGTATTATACCTTTTTCCAACCACAGCAAAAATACAGATGGATAAATAGATGATTGATTTAAAGTAGCTTAAAGTATGAGATGGTGCTTCTGTCTGAACATACTGGTTTAGAATAGCTTTCACATGCATTAAGCTTTTAGTGACCACTCATCACATGTCTCTGTGTTTTTAATTTAAAAATCAGTTTTAATGAGAAAACCAGATAAATTGTGTGTGTGTATGTGTGTGTGTGTGTGTGTGTGTGTTTTGTTTGCTAAGACACTAGAGCATGAGCTGTTAGGAACACATTTGGTCACTGGCTTCCTAAACCAAAGATGTTGGCTCTTACTGAAGATGTCACAGTGTTGCAGGTTTTTGTGGCTGAGAAACTGTAGTTTGTGTCATAAGTTATAGCTCAGATTTGGTGCTTACAAAGTCTGCTGCCAACATGTAACCACAGACTACACCATTAGCTTGTGTGAGGCACTTTACTGTTGCCCTCAGTTTTACTTAAAGGTGAGAGCTGCTGTGAGTGTCTGAGCATCTACTCTATTGAATTTTTCTTTTGAGATTGTATCTTTTCCTTTATTTTTGAAGTAGCTTTGCTCAATTATGTCTATGTTTCATACAGATATTTTTTCTTAACATCTAAAACCTGCTGAATGGACACTGTTGTATTAAAGGTGACAGCAGTCTTAAGTCCAAGAGATCTCTAGAAATGCTTAAAAATAAGGAAAAATAAGGATCTGATCTAATTGATAAGTCAGGTCAAGGAAAATACTGTCTTGAACATTGTATCTTAGCCTAGCTGAAGCCATTTGTAATATATGTATGTATGTTCCAAAGAAAACATTTCATTAAACTCTTTTGGTCATGTCAGGGTGATGTGTTTTGGTAATGGTCATGGCTCTAGTACTGGGGGTAGAGATAGGAACCAAATCAGGTTTTATGTATTTAATTTG